GTCCTTTGCTCTGCCTTAGATCAGTTGAACAAAACTAATGGTAACAAGCACAGCTTGTTACTCCAGTTCCCTATCCATGCCCACCTAAAAGAAGAAAACATCTTCTGTCATAACAGTTCAGTGTCCTTGGTTTTGTACTGTCAACAGCTTCAGAGAGAGGGATAAATGAACAGAGCCCCATCAGGATATCCTGTCATTCAGTTAGGAAGGGTTTATTCAGCTTTGCAGCGAAAACTTTCAGCAAATACCCTGTGTTTTGGAATTTCTCCTGCCTGCAGGCAAGTTTTGAATGCTGTATCCTTCACTCATTTTCCTTCAGGAAGATAAGAGTCCTGTTAAACTATTTGCCTAAGAATGCAGAAGAAATAGCACCTCTAACGAACCATCACTTCACGGCAGAATTTTAGTTCTCGTGTCTGGAGGGCTCTGAAGGAAAAAAAAATTAAAAAATCAAATTATTCACAATGGAAAAAAATCCAGTTGTTTTATTCCTTCTCACTTTTTTGGCTGCAGTGAAATTGTGTATGACATCACAAGTCCCAGATGAGGTAAGAAACAGCTTTTTATTTAAGTAATGAACTATTATATGTCTGTATTACACTATTAGGGGTGGGGGTTGTTTCACTGTTATAGAGAGAATAGATATCAGATCCTGTATTTTATAGAAGAAATCCCACTTAAACAGTCACTGATGCATATGACACAACTATAAACTAAGAGCTCTGTAGTTCAGTCCTCTGAAACAACAGAAACACATCTGTTTATTCCAGATGAAAATTTGGCTCAAAGGATATGTCACAAGTACACTGAAAAAGTCTCTAAAAAATGGCAAACATGGCAAAAGGCTGTAGCTGACACATTCAGCAAAAACAACAAAAGAAAACTGTTAGAATTTCTGATAAATCAGAAGATGAAAGCAGAAATTTTTCCATGGTGAAAACTATCCACTCTATTAAGCACAAGGAGGAAAAGGTATTTCAGATATGTGGGGAAAAAAATCTAGGGAATTGAGCTATTGGAAGTGATTGTACAAAGTTATAAGTTGAAGGAGATCCATAGACTTTTGGGGAAGCCATGCATTTGTCATGTACAAATCCTACAGATCTGCAGAACTTCACAAAATCTGTTTTCACCACCCTCACAGAGAGGCAGAAAGTGTTGGGTTACAAATCTGAACCAGGAGTTCAACAGCAAGCCATTCACTCATTTAAACTGTTTCACAATATAAGGCTTTAAATTACGGTGTTCTGGAGAAAATACACTTGTAGAAGAGGAAACAAATACGGTGTTCTGGAGAAAATACACTTGTAGAAGAGGAAACAAAAGGACAGGGAGAAATTGGGGTTTTTTAAAAGAGAAAAAAAAAGGGGGGGGGGGGAGGGGGGGGGGGGGTGGGGGCAGATGAGGGAAGGGAGGACACAGCACTTGTTGGTTAATTGGTTCGATGTGGTTTTTAAATGGAAAAATATTTTGAAAAGTACAAACAGGTACCGGGAAATGTGTTCAACTTGTTCTGTATATAAAAAAGAGCCACTAACAATCACCTTTCTTTCATTTTCCCTAACACTAAAAAGGGAAGATGAAGAAATGAGAGAAAGTGGAAATAACCCCACCATTCCAAAACAAATAGGTTTTTTATAGCTGGTAG